TTTTTTGTGTACAGATGCACGCCAAGTCTCCAGAAAAATGGAATCCAAGCTACAGGGTAAGTCTATATCCATTATCATTAACACCTGTTGTATGATCTGGGCCCAAAAATATTTGTGGGCAATTCCACTAGCAATGAGCAAAGTCTGCAACAGCTCCACACTTTTCCCAGCATTTATTAGAGATTTTGGGGTTTATTTTGTGTAAGACTACCGGGGTCATATACCACCTGTTCAGTATTTTGAATGAAGTGAATCTATTACTAAATATGTTCAACGTGTTACTGGGAGACGACCAAATTAGGTTCCAGTCTTCTTCAGTAATCATTTTTTGACAGTCTAATTCCCATTGACACTGGGATTTGAGACTAGTAATCCTATTCCCTCTCAATAGCAATTTGTACAGTTTACCTATCATACCTTTTATTTTTCCGTCCGAGTTTTTAAGGATTAGTTCAAATTTGTTAAGTGGTTTAGAGAATATTGACTTTCTGTATAACTTGGTTAGGACATTTTAAAGTTGCAAGTATTGAAACCAAAAGATTTTCCCATTTCGTTTATTTTCCATTTCTTGTTTACTCAGAGGGGCCCCATTATTCATTAAATCTATTAAGTGCACTATTCCTGCCTCTTTCCATGTCTGAAATGCATTTTCCTCTTGACTTGTTGGGAACTAGTCCTGACTGAGAAAAGTGGAGAGCTGTGAGATTGGTGGTAAGAGCGTTTTCTTATGTGACTCCCAAATTTCCAAGGCCAACTTGAGAAACCAGTTATGCAGATTCGCAGCTTGATTTTTATTGTTGTTTCTCCAGTATCGTTCTGAGAGGGAGATAGGCTGAGTTATTATTTCTTGTATTTGTTCCCAGCTAGTTTTGGTCTCATTAGTTAAGACCCATACTACGTTCGTAAGGTTAGCTGCAACATAATATTTATATAGGTCTAAGAAGTCTAAGCCTCCCCTCCTCGTTTTCCGCATGAGGGTATTAAATTTGACTCGTGGCTTTTTATAGCCCCAGAAGAAGTCATTTCCTGATTTCCATGTGTGGGATAGATGATGGAATTGCTCTGAACAGGAAAAAGAATTTAGGGAGAACAAAGCTTTTCAGTAAGCTTATCCACCCACAAAAATCCCAACTTGTGCCATTCTTTTAAACGTGCGCTTAAGTCCTTAAACAGAGGTTGATGGTTCACTTTAACTAAGTCCTCGAGATCCCTCGGAATTTGGATTCCTAAACACCTCCAGTGGGTAGTCACCCAGTCAAAAGGAAGTTTTCACAGTTTCTTTTCCTCTGAGTCCGATATTAAGATAGAGGCAATTTTGGTTCCGGATAGATTTACCTTCAGACCTGTTAAGTGCTGAAAGTTCTGAAATACTTCTTGTAGCTTCAAAAACGAGGAATTTGGGTTAGAGAAATATATTATGAGGTCGTCAGCATAAAGGCTAATGGTATGCATTTGTTGTCCAATTTTAATACTGGCAACCAGCAACCAGCCTGATTGCATTTGCTAATGGCTCTATTGCTAATGCAAATAGAATAGGTGACAATGGGCACCCTTGTCTGGTGCCTCTATTCAACATTATTGGTCTGCTTAGAATGCTATTGATACGGATCCTAGCAAAGGATTTAGAATATACTGCTTTTATCGCATTTAGAAAATAACCCCCAAAGTTCATTGTCTTTAAGACTTGATGTAGGTAAGTAACTTCCACACTGTCAAAGGCTTTCTCTAAGTCAACCATGAGGATGATGGATTCCAGTTCTGTTCGTTTACAATGAGATATTATGTTTAACGTTCTGTGAATGTTGTCTGTCATGTTTCTATTTGGAATAAAGCCTGTCTGGTTAGGATTGATATATACTGCTATAATTTTCTGTAAACTTTTAGCCAATACTGTCGGAAATATTTTAGCATCACAGTTTAGTCTGTATGAGCCAGGCGATTCTTTATCCTTATCTTCCTTTGTGATAGTGACAATATGAGATTGACCCCATGACAGTGGCTTGTCCCCTTTGAGCAGTATAGCACTGCAGACTCTAGCCAGAGACTCCGCTATGTCGAGGCTGAAGATTTTAAAAAATGCAGGGGTAAACCCATCACACACACACGTGCCGTGTTGGACTTGAGGTGTTTAATGGCATCCATGATTTCTTTCGAGGTGATGGTAGAGTCTAAAAATTGTTTATGTTCAGGTGAAAGTTCTTTGCACAGGTTTTTTCCCACCAGTAAATTCTGAATATCTTTTCCTGGAGGCTCATTCGATGTATATAATTTCTGGTAAAAATCTGCAAAGCAGTTGACAGTTTGGTTTTGGTCAGTGTACCTTTGATGTTTTGAGTCTCGGATAGAGAAAATTCTGTGTTCAGAAATTTTCCTGTTAACTCTCCATTTTAAAATCTTTAGGTTTTGGGGACTTTTCTGCCAAAACTGTTCTTTCAAGAACAGTATATTCTTTTGGATCTTAGTTGTTTCTATGGTTTCTAGAATTCTGCGCTCGGCTAATAACTCTTTGTAGGTACTTTTGTTTCCCGTCCTTTTGTGTAGTGTTTCCAGCGTTTGAATTTTCTGAAGTAATGTATTTGTGCCTCTCTCTCTTTCTTTACTCTAGACGCTAGCGCTATCGACCTCCCTCTGGTTACCACTTTGAAGGCTTCCCACAGCGTGAACACATCTACCTCTCTATTATCATTTTCTTTGAAGTAATTGACTATTGTTGTTTTCTTCCTTACAAGTGTCTCTTAATAAAATGGAATTATTCAGTCTCCACACATTGCTTCTAAGTGTCCTTTCTTTTTTGCACAATTTACATTCTATGTACGCGTGGTCAGACCACATGAAAGAGCCTATGACTGCGTCCTTGACTCTATTCATTAAGGTGTCTGACACTAGGATGTAGTCTATACGCGTGTATACCTGA